ATTGGGGTCGTGACAGATTTGGATGGCATTTGAGCTTTAGTATGTGTTTAAAATGGACTGAGACTTCTAAATTCATAATTGGATCATTTGATTTTAAGTTTCATCAGAAATGCTAGATATATGTCTAATGCAATCTATGACTGTGGGTATTAGGTGGTTGAGGGACTCCTTTAATTCAGTAAGTTGATAATCAAGTAAATTAGTCATGGGCTCATGTATGAATTTGACTGAACTGTGATCATATGGTTAATTGTTTCAATCAAGCCACCAATACTCTTGATCATTAATGTAACGGTTGATATCATTTTCAGGTTGTGTGATGTTTATTTGTTTGTTATTGTGTTTTTAAAATTCGAGTTGCCTTCTGTTGTTGATTGGGATCGAAGGCATGACTTCTGAGGCCCATTTCGAGTAGTACCTCGTGGGGATTTGGGGCCTCCGTTCAGGCCCAAAAAGGGCCAACCATGAGATCTAATTCCTGCGCTCCTGTGGTGTTATTGGGGCTATTGGGCCTCATTTTTGGCTAGGTTGGTTTCGGGCCCAAAGTAGTGGGATTCCAGAGTCACTTTTGGATTTAATGGCGTTAAAATTAAATGGTGGAGTTTGGGCCTTTCAAGTTAAGTTGCATACTCGAGTTAAGGGTCTCTTCAGTAACGGGGAGCGTCCTGTTCGAGTTTGGATTGATCTTGGGACCCAATTTTTCTTGAATACCTTGATGTTAGTTAATTCATAATGTCAACTAATTAGGGTTTAGGAGTAGAGACGAATCCTAATAGCTAATAGTAGCTCATCTTTAGGATGTCCTTTTAAACAAATTGAGTTGCGCCGCGCCAAATAAAATTACAAATTGTGTGGCCCTCTTTAATTGTTATTTAAAATACTTAGTACTCGAGCGTACCATATTAGCTAAATTTTCATGGCCCTCGCAAAGTTAACAACGCGTAGTTGCTTTTAGGCACGTTCTTTAATAATTTTACCTTCCTAAACTCGGGTGTGCATTTCATGCGACCCAAATCCAAATCCCAAAACGTTGAATAAAATATGTTTAGGATTGCGAACCCAAGGCTCTTCTTAGTCTAACATGATTGGTGCATTTCATGTGACGCGATCCAAAGATATATTTTAAACGACGTTTAACATTCTTTAAAAAAATTGAATAAAAGCGGTTAAAAGCTAAAATTTGCACATAGGTTCAAAATGTATTAAAATCAGATAAATAAACCGAATATAACAGTTGAGCGACCGTGCTAGAACCACGGAACTCGAGAGTGCCTAACACCTTCTCCTGGGTTAACAGAATTCCTTACTCGGATTTCTGGTTCGCGCCTGTTAAACAGAGTCAAACCTTTTCCTCGATTCGGGATTCAAACCGGTGACTTGGGACACCATAAATCTCCCAAGTGGCGACTCTGATTTTTATCAAAACGAATCCCGTTTCGATTGTCCTTTAATTGGAAAAACTCCATTTATTATCCCCCTTCCAGGTGTAGTAAAGAAAGGAGGTGTGAAGCTCTGGCGACTCTGCTGGGGAAAAGAACCCAGAACTTTTTGTTCAGGGTTCAGAATTTGAGCTTAGTATAATTGTTATATTTGGCTTTATCTGATTTTCCTACATGTTCCATGCTACACGTGCTAAATGTTTTACCGCTTTGATATTTGTTGAATTGTATATATAAACTGTTACGAATCCCTTCCTCTCTCTGAGTCTTCTACATCATGGAGAAGGGTGCACTTCGTGTAGCTTCTCTTCTGTTTAGAGTCTTTTCCCATTTAGAACGAGGTTTGGATAAGTTGCTAAGCTGACGGAGCTTCTGTATCCCCGGTACGCTGCCTCCCCCTCGGCTCGAGTTGTCCGCTCGGGTAAGCCAGGTCTAGACCAATAAACCTAGGGTTTAAACCTAGAAGAACAAAACCTCATGCCGGTTCCCTAGTAGGAACGTTTGTTTGCATCATGTGCATTTGACTGAGGGGACTCAACACAGGGGTTGGGTCCGTCTAGGACAAGTGACGTGAAATGAAAAGACAATCCTGATGCATCTTACGTGCTACTTGTGCATTCATTTGCTTTGGATTTGCATGTTGACCGGCTTGTGTATAATGAGAGAAAATTGAGAAAAATAGCAGTGTTAGGGTTAAGTGAGGGTAACCACTTGTTTGGAAAAAACCGATGCCCAAATAGTACCGAAATGCTGCCGGATTTTTGAAAAAATAAAAAATAGAATATTTGAAAAGAAATGAAAAGATCTTTTAACAAATATTAGGTTTTGACAAAACTGCCCGAACTACGCTGGTTTGATTCTCACCGGATGTGAGATACGTAGGCAACCCTCATCGGGTCCAACCTCCCCTTTTGCAAAAAATAGCCAAAAATACCAAAACATTAATTCTTGTCAAAATAAGTCGAGTGATGCCATCCTTGTTTAAAATAAGCCGAATGTCCCCAAAAGGACGCCGGAAGGCTGTTTTTGCAAGAACGGCCACCCTGAGTCATTTTTAAATGGTTTGCGGGCACAGCCTTAAATCTCCCTCCCGGAAGTGCTGAATGGCCGTATTTGCAAAAACGAGTCTTTGTTTTCTTAAATGAAAATTTTGAAAAACAGTAGCTTTTTCTTTTAAGTCAAAATGAGTCATTTAAATAGCCACATTTTTCCTTTTAGGTTAAAATAAGTCATTAAATTCCATTAAATAAATGTGCAGGATGAGTACAGTTGACATTGAAACCTTCTCAGTCCTGAGTGAGATCCCTTTGAAGCTTCACATGTGGTGGAACGACTTAGGAAAAGGTAGCAGGAAACAGTGGTAAATATTCTGGGTGGCCTCGTCGGACTGTTGAACATTAAGCCAAGAACGGATATTATTGAAGCATTGGTACCTTTTTGGGACCCAACTCGTAACGTATTCCGGTTCTCGGACTTCGAGCTTACACCCACACTAGAGGAGATGGCGGGATATGAGGGTCTTAACGAAAACCTCAGGGGTCGATATCCATTGGCGCCGAGACCGGTAACCCTTCACAGATTTTTGGATTTATTGAACATTAGTCGGGACATTCAAGATAAGCATCTAGCAGAAGGGTGTTGCACACTCCATTTCTTATACCACCGATACGGCAACCCGCGAGGTTTCGAGGAGCCTAACACCGGTTTGACACACGCCGGGAACAAAGATAAATGGGAGGCCCGGCGGAGGTTGGCTTTCATGGTAGCTTTTCTAGGGGTCGTGATCTGTCCACGAAAAGACGGTCACATAGATATTGGCCTTGTAGGAATGTTGGATGTTGCTATAAAGAAGTCTAACACCTAGAAGTTTGAAGTACCTGCCAGAATATTGAAGCACCATAAACTATGATGATCACCAAAATTTCCAGCCACAATGCTAAAAAGTTCTAGTAATCCATCAGAATTTGTGCAAAATCCTGACGATCATCATAATTGCAGCGTGTTTTAAAACTTCCGGCGAGCGACTTTTCCCGAACTTCAGCTACCGAAGTAAAAAACCAATACGTGATACTGAAGTGTACCTATTTTAGTCATTCTCCTAAAGGAAAAGCTAAACCCTAAACTAAACAGATTTCCCACAGCAAATCTCCTATGGCATTCAATCTCCTTAAGGAAAAGCCTGCCTAAGTCAAGTTCCTCTGTAAGTTCACTGATCAAAACGGCAAGCAGGCCGTAATCTTGTCTGCCGAATATAAAAGTTGGTCCAATTAGTTCATTCATATATACTGTAGTTTCATTTAATATTGGAACCAAGCCGCTGTGCAACTCTAATTGTATTTAAAGTCTCTGTTTACAGTACTTTAATACTAAAATATCACGTTAAGACTACAACAACAACAATAACAACAACTCAGTATAATCCCACTTAGTAGGGTCTGGAAGGGTAGTGTGTACGCAGACCTTACCCCTACCCTGGGGTATAGAGGCTGTTTCCAAATAAACCCTCAGACATCCTTCCCTCCAAGAACTTCTCACCTTGCTCTTGGGAAGACTCGAACTCACAACCCCTGGGTTGGAAGTGAAGGTTGCTTACGATCAGAGCAACCCCTCTTATCACGTTAAGACTACAATCATTCATTTTTACGAACCTTAAATAGGTCTCCCAGTTTGGCAAGTGATATTGTTATTTGCAACACTGCAAGCTGACATGATTTTATTATTTTTATTTTTTTGAGAAAAAACAAAACTTTAAGCATTTTATTCATCTCCAAAAGGAAGTTACAATCGACTTAGAGGTAGCTGGAAAGCTAGTATTCCCTTAACCACCTGAGATGAGGTAAATGCTTTGATATTTCATGATGTTTAGCAGCTAATCCTTTACACGAAGACATAAATTCAAGCATCACACACTGTTAAAGGGTTTGTACAAATAAGACATTTGATGTTACAAACTCATACTCTAAACAAATCGTAGTATATATTTATTAGCTGAAAAGCAACAAGAGAAAATGATCAAAATGGCGGTTAGTGTATTAGGGTTGGTCTATTTTGGTCCGTCATATATACACCTTTATAGCTATCTGCCTTAATGTAAATGTAGAAAGGGGACACTTTTAGTCATAAACCCTAAACTAAACAGATTTCTCAAAAATGGCATTAAGTTTCAACACCAATTTCCATCTGCGGCTAACAAAATTCACAAAAGCAGATTCCACAAGCTTTCGTATTTCATCTTTAATTCCCTCTTTCTAAACAATATGAATTTCAAGATTTCTCTGATATGGGTTAAATGAGAAGAGCACAACATGTCGAATGTTTCTACATGTTGCACTGTTCATGTGAGTTCCATTGCCTCTGATTGTTTTTTGTTGCAGTGCGCCGGGCTGCCCTTTTATAATTCAAAGGTAATGGTACCAAAATAGTTCTCACAAAAGGCAAAAGACAAAACAAGGCTGAAACGAGCATAAGAAGATATTATCTTCCTACAATCTAAGAGCACAGTCATATCAAATAGTGTACTCCATGAAAAGTTAATAATCAGAGTACTTATTAAAAGGAAGAGGATATAAGGGAGGTTATTTATCAAATCGTACAACATCATTATAACATCTTATAGTGTTATCAGAGCTCCAAACAATCAAAAGAAAAACATCATATCAGCAACCTGTGCATAGTAATAATGCAAGCTGGTCGCCTGGAATTAGAACTAAGGATCCTACAGGATAGCTTTTCAACTACTTTCACCAATTTGAGATAGGAGAATGACGTAAAACACAATTAAGACACACGAGAGTCGTGTCGCCACAAGCATACAAAAGTTTTAGAGGATGAAAATCATATACTGTCGTTACAAGCCAAGGTAAGAATCCCTCTTAGCAAGCTAAGCATATGACCGCTTCCCTTATCCTGAACGGCAGTAGCCCTGCTGTAACATTTACCATGGGTAATACTAAGTAACTTAACAACATGTCTTTCCCGACAAGAACATCTTCACGAGAAGAACAACAAACCCCTACCTTGAAGGTAGAGAGGCTCTTGAAGGTAGAGAGGCTGTTTACGTAGAACATCTTCACGAGAATTTAAAGTAATCTTTTTACAGTGAAGAAGTTAGAGTAATTTTGTGAATGAAGAGATGACCAACTGAAAATTGAACCTCAAATAAAATTTAACCCAAACAGTCAACAACGGGAATGAGGTCCATTCATGGCTTTATTTAGAAGAAGAAAAACCCTCAGCTCTTTGTCGCTCAAAAACATTAAAACATGATTCTTAGCCTTGAAATTCAACTTTTGGAAGGGGATTTCATCTGTCTCCAGCAGACCATACTGTGATCATGGAGCTTTTACTCAGCTGTTGCGCTACTAAACTAGTGCTAGTTGCCACCCAACTATTCCAAGTAGCACAAGTATATTTCCCTCCATTCAAATATCAAATAGCATAACTATGACCAATAATAGAATGTCCACGAAGTTCTTCAAACCTACAAACTGTTTCTACAAACCTACAATAAAAGAATCTTAAGCCTTTAATGTTCTGCCAAACATGCTACCAAAATTTTAAATATACAAGACAGACATTTAGGACATGCATATCCAAGTCAAAACTGTATTATTAAGTACCTTAGTGATAGCTCCTCTACAGGCTATTCCTTCAACACCTTAGCACCAAAGAAATAAGAGGTATCATATACTTCGTAAATTGGCCTTCAAAAGATACTGAATAGCAGACAACCATCTTGCAATGAAAAGTTTCCATATTCTTTACCAGTGTGTGACTCCTCCAGGGGTTCCAGTACTTTACCAGCCACCCAATTGCTTATGGACCTTTGAACTCAGTGAAGATTTCCCACCTTTGTCCTTGTATGTATTCCTGGAGGCAAAGTTCCTCTTCCCCCGATGGGCAGCTTGAATGGCCTTCCTCCTCTGCTTGCTCAGGCTCTTCACAAGTTCGGCATCATCTTCAGACTCGGCCTCTCCATCATCCTCAGGATCATGCNACAAGGTTGGGAACATATCAAAAGAAGTAAAACATGAAGGACCAATGAAAATCAGTGGAATAATCAGATAATTGGGGGAAGAAGCAAAGTTTCACGAAAAGGGAACAGAAACACCGAAACAGTAATACAAGGTAAAACATTTGGGTCATCAAGATCAGAAGGTTGAAAAGTCAACCGGGAAGTCATGGCAAGTCAAAGCAAGTCCAAAGAAGCAAGTTAGAGCAAAGTCGGAAGCGGGAGCATGGCCAACAGAATGCCAGCAGTTAACCACTATTTTCTATTAACAAATCTTTCTTTGATTAAAACAGGGGCAGAAAGAATTTTCTTTGAAAGCAGGAACCCACTTGGATAACAGGGGGATACTTTCCAGAGTTAGTAAGCAGGAGCCCACCTGAAGAATAAGGGAATACATTTTCAAGCATCGCAATCAGGAGCCCACCTGGAAAACCAGGGAAGTACTAAGTTCAAATTTAGCTTCCAATTTTTAATATTTGACATGCTGTACCCAGCCACCAAACTGGGGCAGAAAATTTTCTTTGTTTTGTCTATTTTGTTACAGTCAGGAGCCCACCTGGAGAACAGAGGCATAATTTCAAGATTTAGCAATCAGGAACCCGCCTGGAGAACAGAGGCATTTATTTCAAGTTTTAGCAATCAGGAGCCCGCCTGGAGAACAGAGGCATTTATTTCAAGTTTAGCAAACAGGAGCCCTCCTCGAGAACAGAGGCATTTATATCAAGTTTTAGCAATCAAGAGCACGCCTCGAGAATAGAGGCATTTAATTCAAGTTTTAGCAATCAGGAGCCCGCCTGGAGAACAGAGGCATTTATTTCAAGTTTTAGCAATCAGGAGCCCGCCTGGAGAACAGAGGCATTTATTTCAAGTTTTAGCAATCAGGAGCCCGCCTGGAGAACAGAGGCATTTATTTCAAGTTTTAGCAATCAGGAGCCCGCCTGGAGAACAGAGGCATTTATTTCAAGTTTTAGCAATCAGGAGCCCGCCTGGAGAACAGAGGCAATTATTTCAAGTTTTAGCAATCAGGAGCCCGCCTGGAGAATAGAGGCATTTATTTCAAGTTTTAGCAATCAGGAGCCCGCCTGGAGAACAGAGGCATTTATTTCAAGTTTTAGCAATCAGGAGCCCGCCTGGAGAACAGAGGCATTTATTTCAAGTTTTTAGCAATCAGGAGCCCGCCTGGAGAACAGAGGCATTTATTTCAAGTTTTAGCAATCAGGAGCCCGCCTGGAGAACAGAGGCATTTATTTCAAGTTTTAGCAATCAGGAGCCCGCCTGGAGAACAGAGGCATTTATTTCAAGTTTTAGCAATCAGGAGCCCGCCTGGAGAACAGAGGCATTTATTTCAAGTTTTAGCAATCAGGAGCCCGCCTGGAGAATAGAGGCATTTATTTCAAGTTTTAGCAATCAGGAGCCCGCCTGGAGAACAGAGGCATCTATTTCAAGATTTAGCAATCAGGAGCCCGCCTGGAGAACAGAGGCATTTATTTCAAGTTTTAGCAATCAGGAGCCCGCCTGGAGAACAGAGGCATTTATTTCAAGTTTTAGCAATCAGGAGCCCGCCTGGAGAACAGAGGCATTTATTTCAAGTTTTAGCAATCAGGAGCCCGCCTGGAGAACAGAGGCATTTATTTCAAGTTTTAGCAATCAGGAGCCCGCCTGGAGAACAGAGGCATCTATTTCAAGTTTTAGCAATCAGGAGCCCGCCTGGAGAACAGAGGCATTTATTTCAAGTTTTAGCAATCAGGAGCCCGCCTGGAGAACAGAGGCATTTATTTCAAGATTTAGCAATCAGGAGCCCGCCTGGAGAACAGAGGCATTTGTTTCAAGTTTAAGCAATCAGGAGCCCGCCCGGAGAACAGAGGCATTTATTTCAAGTTTTAGCAAAGGAGAACAGAGGTATTTATTTCAAGTTTTAGCAATCAGGAGCCCGCCTGGAGAACAGAGGCATTTATTTCAAGTTTTAGCAATCAGGAGCCCGCCTGGATAACAGAGGTATTTATTTCAAGATTTAGCAATCAGGAGCCCGTCTGGAGAACAGAGGCATTTATTTCAAGTTTTAGCAATCATGAGCCCGCCTGGAGAACAGAGGCATTTATTTCATGTTTTAGCAATCAGGAGCCCGCCCGGAGAACATAGGCATTTATTTCAAGTTTTAGCAATCAGGAGCCCGCCTCGAGAAAAGAGGCAATTATTTCAAGTTTTAGCAATCAGGAGCCCGCATGGAGAACAGAGGTATTTATTTCAAGTTTTAGCAATCAGCGGGAATGCATCATAACCCTCGTGTTTTGCAGGCTTGCCCAAGGACGCGGNGTTTAGTCAATCAGAGACCGCCCTGGAGAACAGAGGCATTTATTTCAAGTTTTAGCAATCAGGAGCCCGCCTGGAGAACAGAGGCATATATCTCAAATTTTAGCAGTCGAGCATCACTCGGAGAAATGGCGAAACATCTCAAATCACAATTCAAGGCAACAGCAAAAGAATGCCGCTGGGAGAATGCAAGTTAACAAGGCAACAAGAGCTACAAGAGCAAGTTTGAAGACATAGATACGACTTTTGTAATTCATAGATCAAAACTTAGTCTAGCTTCTCTTTATTTTGACACGGTGTAATAAGGGGGTTCAGTAAGTAGTAGCAGCAGCAACAACAACAGTGAAATCACAGCTTCATGGTAGTCCCAGCTACCAGACCTTCCTGAACTACACTGACCTGATTCCTTTTTAGCCATGGATATGAAGGCAACCTCATAAGCAGGGTGCGGTCAAACTTTTCAAAAATGCTTCACACGGAGTATTCAAACGGGCAAAAATCGCTCATATTTGCTCACTTATCTTTGCACGAAAACTCTTCGTGTTTCCGAGCAAAGAGGGGCAGCTGTGAGCACGTGATTTTTGCCCTATATGAATTACTCCCATAGTTTCAAAACAAAATAGTTCTTTTATTTATTTGTAATTTCATGAATTTTTGTGGCATTTTATGTTGATTGTTGGCATTTTGTTTGCACATTTTAATTAGTAAAAAATATAAAAAAATGTTTGGCATCTGCATTTAGGGTTTTAATGTTACATTTTTAGGATTAATTAGAAATTAATTGTTTCATAAAATGGAAAATCAAAAAATATATGTTTAAGTTGCATTTTTAATTTCGATCTTGATTTTGAGTAGTGTGTCTTTTTAAATTTGTTTTGTGATAATTACCATAGGTATTTAATTAGTTAATTGAATTTTAGGAATTAATTTAGATCTATTTTTTTTTAATTTTAAAGTAAAAGAAATTAGGATAAAAGAAAAAAAAGAAAGGAAACCCGTTTTGGGCTGTCCAGTTCAAGTCTCCACAAGCCCAAAGAAATTTTGCTCAAACCCGCCCCAATCCAGCCCATCACCCACCCAAAACTGGTCCTGCCCCGCCCCAGTCAAAAACTCGGTCCCCCTTACCACCCAAACGACCCCGTTTAGCCAGGAGAAGATCCCAGCCGTCGAGGTAACTTGATCTAACGGCTGGGAAGTGGAGTATCTATAGTATATATATGTCCAAACTTTACCCCACCCCCCCACAAACCTGTCTTTCACCCTCTCCCCAGTAAACCCTAGAGACCTCTCCCGTCTCCGCCGTCCACCGCCCTAGACCGCCGCCGAAAATCGCCCCACCGCGGCGGAGATCACCCAAAAGCTACCAAAATAACCCCAAACACCCTCCTCAACTCCCTTAGTCCAGATCTACAAACATTTTCCCTCAAAACACGCCCAAATCCCTCGAATCTTTGTTTGAAACCAAGAACCCTAGCGCCGCCACAGTTTCTCCGGTGGCGGCGCCACCACTAATTAACCCCAAATTTCGCCCATGTAACCATTACTCTCCCCTTAGCCCTAACCCAGTACCATTCCTACATAAATCCTCACCAAATTAATCTTTCCTTGAATCTGAAAATTAAAAAAAAAAACAAGTCTAGCGATGGGGTTCGAAATGGGTATTGATCATTTGTTCTCATTGAGAACAGATGGTTAATACCTATTTTGAATCGAATCGAGGTTGGTTGGGGTTTTGGTGGGCTGTGTTCATTCGAGTTTGAGGTACTCTTTCGTTCTTTTGGTGTTCCCTGTTTACCTTCATTCTCTCTTATTTTTTCTCCCCATTTCTGTTCTTGCTTTGTATTTTCGATTGCCCTGTAGATTAAATTCACATAGCAGTAATTTTAGGATAATTCATGTTAATTTCCTTGTTAGATTGAAATTATTTCAGTGTTTTCTGTTTGTTTGAATCTATTGATTAATGGTTTGGTCAGATTAGTCATTATTACACATGTGTTTGAATCATTTGAGCCTCATTTGTTTAAGTTAATTAGGATTTTTTATATTTTGAATTTTCTGCTGTGTTAGATATAATCAATAGTTCCCATTTCGTTTGGTCTATTTAGCAATGGCTAGAGAACTATTGGGGGTGAGTTGAATATTAGAAACTAGGGAAGATATTTTGTGAGGGAAGCATCTAGAATAGGGGGCAGTTGGCCTTATTGGATTAGCACAAGTTGTTGTACCCAATAAAAGGTGGCCAGCTGTCCCATTCAGTTAGAAAGATGCTTTGTGGGGGTAATTTGGGGATTTTGCTTGACTTGCCTTGGAAGGCACACCACAGGCCCTTTTTCCTATAAAAGGGGTAACATTCTTGCCTTTGAAGGCAAGGTTTTAGGAGCTGAAAAATCAAGAAAAGAGCTGCATAAGTTTACTATTTTAAAGAAGGTAAAAAAAGGCTGAAAAATCCAGAAACAAAACCTGTAGAAATTACTGTTTCATCAAAGTTTAGGGGAGCTAAATAGATAAAATTTTCTGAGAGTCAAAAATCGTTGTTCTATTGGTTCTGGGTAAATTTTTAAGCAATTGAATGTTAAAAACAAGCTGAATCAGACGGGATTCAATGGTTCTTTTGGTTCATCTCTGGTTTGATTGTGAGTGCTGGGCTTTGTGACACGTTGTTTGAGAA